GACCTTAACAACCTCCCAAAACTTCTTAATAAACCAAAAAGATAATCCATTTGGCCCTGGAGCCCGATCACTTCCACAAGACCAAACTACGGCTTTAATTTCATCATGAGAAAGTCGAGAAATTAGAGCATTTTTATGCCCAAAAGACAGCTTGCGTAACCGAGAGCTTGGCTTGGAAATAGAAGCACCCGAAAAAGCACTAAACTTTTCTTTGAAGAAATAATTAAAGCAATCTTTAACTTGGACCGGTTCTGTCACCCACTCTCCATCACTCATAATACCATTAATCATCATTTTTCTCATTTTTCTTTTAAGTATAGAATGGAAAATTTTAGAATTTTCATCACCATCTACAACCCACTTAGATTTTCCTTTCTGAGCAGCATCCATATCTTCCAATTTCTCCAGGTCCGAGAGAGATTTCAGAATATCAATTCTAGCTAAAGCCAATTCCTCATCTCGATTCCCTGCATCAAGAATAACATCAAAATCGACTAATATTTTAATCAATTGTCTCATATTTCCAAATTTTTGAGCGACCATCACTTTGTGCCATTCCTTTAATCTCTCTTTCAAAGTTTTCAACTTATTTTTAAACACAACGGATTTGTTAGTGTTTAAAGGTTCATCATTCCATTTCCAAGCATCCAACACCAATTGGTCAAACTCGTCCATAAAAAAACCATGAATGGAATAGTTTAAAATGGGTGGGACCATACTCTCTATGTTTTTCTTTTAGAACAATAGGGGCATGATCAGACCACAAAAGAGCAAGAACCACACCTATAAGATTAGGATAACTATTAAGAATACCATTAGATACCAAAAAGTGATCCAACTTTGCCATTTTCAAACAAAGTTTATCAACTCTCGTAAATCTTCTCCCTCCCAAAGGAACATCTACCAAATCAGAATTAATAATGAAATTATTAAAATATTCGGCTTCCTTCTGACAAAAATTAGGCCCACTCCTCTCAGCTTGATTACGCACCACATTAAAATCTCCAAACACCAAGTACTCCCCAACATTAGCACCCATGAAATTAGTAATAAAGTCCTAAACCGCTTTTTCGAGTATCTATCTTGAGGAGCATAAACATTAATGAGGAAACATTTCATAACTGAAGCAATAATCTCTCCTTCTACCACCAAAAAACTTTCCATCGACCACACTTTACGTTTCATAAAGACAGTCGGATCCCACACTACTAACAGCCCTCCCGACCTTCCTTGTGAAGCACTACTAGCAACATCGAACTGATAGTTTCCCCAAAGCGATTTAACCAAGAACAGATCAAGACTGGGAATTTTAGTCTCTTGAATCCCCAACACACTAATGGAATGTTCTATGCATAACTTTTTTATCCATCTCCTTTTCTTGTGGCACTTTAAACCACATAAGTTTATGGACAAGGTATTCATTTAAAACCTTGTTGCACACATTGACTTTCAATTATTCTTCCAGTGTCTTCTTTGCATCCAATGAAATCATACCCTAAAACCTTCCCAAACTCCACATATTTCTATATTACCTCAATTAAAGATCCAATTGGAACATATTTAGACTTAATGTTATCTTCTTTTCGTTTTCTTACCGAAGCATTAAATGATTGTTTCTTTTCTACAGAGGAATCTCCTGACCGAATTGGAGAATGGAATCTTTGGTGATTGAATCCAGGTGGAGCAGAGGCTGAACTCGAATTTTGACAACCATCAGTAGCCTTTATATTATTTCCAACATGATTACCCTTGCCTTTAATGGAATTAAAACCATTCTTCTTCTGAATTTGAGCAAAATTTTCCGAATCATCACTTTTATTGACATCTTCCCCTGATTTTTCAATTTAATTCACATGTTCTGAGGATGTGAAAACAGATGCAGGTAAAAGAGAGATCGATTGTTTTGTATAAAACACTCCTTCTTTAACTTCCTCCCTGTTATTATCCTCCATGTCAATGAAACTATCTTCCACATCCCTTTCTCTAAACCCCTTATACTTATCATTACCCGAACCATTTTCTTTTAAACCGCTATCATCAAGAAAATCATTGCAATCACCCTCATAATCCCCATTAATGTTATCCTTATCAAAGCCTTCTTCTTCTTCTTGATCTTCTTCTTCTTGATCTTCTTCTTCTTCTTCTTCTTCTTCTTCTTCTTCTTCATGTAAGAACTTATCATCTTTCCTTTGAGATTCTCCTTGCCCCACACATGGAACTTTATCAATGTTAGGACGCCACACGTCAATCTCTTTGACATGAATATTATATTCTAGACCTTCCACTTCTACCAAGAGATGTTCATTAATGAGTCCAGAAACAGGGACAACAATACACACTTTCCCACACAGCATATGCTCCTCCAAGGCTTCATCTGCAAACAAAACCCTGCCAAAGACATTAGCCACCTTCTTGAAAGCAACAACTGACCAAGCAGAGAGAGGAAGACCATTAATCTCAATCCATTTTGCACATTCCTTAACTACAAAGTTCTTAGTGACATTACTAAATTCCACAAAATAGGAACTAATTCCAGAGGTTTGTTTAAACTGAATGCAAGTCTTCTCTGAATGAAATTCAAACCAAATCCAAGTCCCTCCTGCATACTTAATCTGAACATCATCAAAACCTTCAGCAAGACAAAGATGATAAAGTCTAGGGATGATAGAAGCATCTTTTATCCTTCCCAAAGTGACTTTTCTAGAATCATCAACCACATGCAGATCAATTACAGGAATAATAATCTTTTTCATGACCTTATCAATTAATTTCGTCTTCTCCCCTTCATTCCTCTTGAGAACATTAGCATAAGAATTCTCATGCACAACTTTCAATCCATGCAAAGTAGAATTACCCTTCTGTTGATTCTGATCCTCCCTTTCTCTCGTTCCTTTATTCCTTGATGAATCATACAAACCTCTTTTAAATTTAGCTACTGATACAAACAGGTGGAAATTACCCACCCAAATATATGCCAATCTTTTTTCTAGTCGATCACCATAAAAAACATTCAAATATCCGACGAACGCAAACTTTCTCCCATTCTTAGACAACTTTCTAGCAATATAGATGTCTGCAATCTTACCAAACTCTTCAAAAAGATGCTACAAATCCTTCTCAACCAAATCATTCGGGAAATTAGTAACAAAGTATGTCACATATAGCTTTTCTACCTTTTCCTGATTTGAATCACTTCCATTCCTGTTAGATCTTTTATTCCCGATCAGCCACTCATAGTCTATGAATCGTCATACAAAAGAACTAGCATAAAACCACCCCAAACCAAATAAGCAAAATTGGCCGGCGTTTGATCCCGCCGAAAATCACCTTGAATCGCCGGCACTCGCTATTAGGGCAACTCAAGAAATAGGTGTATGTTATCTAAGTGATTTTTCTTTAGAACTATTCACGACCAATATTGCGAGTTTTTCTTTGTAGTAATGTAAAGTTAGTATATGACAATGAAGATAGAATTCATCTCTCTTTCTTTAATATGAATACAATTTAAGTGCAAACTAATAATTTTATTAATACAAGTTAAGTGCAAACTAATAATTTTATTAAGGGTAAATGTCACTATAGCCCAATCAACTATCGTCATTTATCCGATTTGATCATTAAAATATTTTTTTTTGCACAATAGGTCATTAAATTTACAACTTACCTGTCTATTAAGTTACTTTCGTTAGTTTGTAACATATCCTCTGTTAAGTAGTTATTATAAATTACACAAATGGTCCCTATGATTTCAATTTATTTCGTGGTTGGTCCCACACCAACATAGTTCATCACCGACATCACCACCGTTCAATTCCAGCAACCACCACCCTTCACCTCAGGCAACCCCGTTAACCATTATTCTAACATACAGTCACTCACAAAAAAAATCTCAATCAATTTTAATTTTTATTAAAAAAAAAATTTCAACGAGTTTCAGTTTTAAAGAATGCATTTAAAAAAATATGTTTAGAATCAACATTGAATGAAAGTGTAACAATGTCTATTTGCTAAATAAGAAATTAATTACCAATAAGATATTTGTGAGTTTACTTTTTCTTAAAAAGAATGTATCAATATTCCTTACCTTCACAAAGTATATACATGCCATGCTTATTTGAATTTGATTATCTTAATGAAATTGTTACACCATACAACACTAAATACAGTTAACTAACTACGAACATATACATTTTTATTTGCGACAAAACCCCATATTAAAATTGATCATTTTTAATGCAACTCTTTCACCAAATAATATTAAATGCAGTTCTCAAACTTCTACGATAACCCTTTTTAGTGATCTACCATATTTTTGGTCGATTTAAAGGATTTAAGTGGTTGGAGTTTCTACAAAATGTATCATATTTTTACTTAAAATCGACCGGTAAACTAAACTCTAAATCATAAATCATGGGGGTTGCTCGAGGTGAACGTTGGTGGGTGTCGGAAGTGAACGGTAGTGGTGCAGGTGATGAACGATGTTAGTAAAGGACCAATCACAAAAGAAATTGAAATCATAGGGACCATTCTTGTAATTATAATAATTGGTTAACGGATGATCTGTTAAAAACTAACGAAAGTGACTTAATAGACATGTAAGTTGTAATTTAATAACCTATTGAGCAAAAAAAATACTTTAGTGACCAAATCGGATAAATGACGATAGTTGGTTTGGCTATAGTGACATTTACCCTTTTATTAAAGATAAAATTCATCTCTCTTTTCTTTAATATTAAAATAACTTAAGTGCAAACTAATAATTTTATTAAACAAAGTTGTACATGAAGCAGCCTGCAGCCATCTTAATTTAATAGTGTTTAATAGTGTTTGTGTATTTACAAACTACGAGAACGCACATACATCAAAAATTAAATAAATAAATAAATAAAAACACGTCCACATTAAATAGTTCGCTCCATAATTTCAGCCAATTGCAGAGCCATCTTTACACTTGCCACCCACCCCCTATCTCTCTTCACCCCCTCAAGGCTCAAGCCACCATGCTCCTTATTATACTCCTTACATTTACTCACATCTGCCACTCCGCCACCATTAACTCCGACAACCACCACTTCCTGAAGCTCCCACTCCTCCACATTAACCCTCTTCAATCCCCTTCCCAAGCCTTCTCCTCCGACTCCGCCCGTCTCTCCGCCCTCCTCTCAACCCTCCACCGCAAGCCCAATCTCCCTGTCACCTCCGGAGCCTATGCCGGCGCCGGACAATACTTCGTCACCCTCCACCTTGGTACCCCTCCTCAAAAACTCCTTCTCATTGCTGACACCGGCTCCGATCTCATCTGGGTAACCTGCTCCGCCTGCCGAGATGATTGCAACCGCACCCGCCCTCCACATTCCGCCTTCCTCGCCCGCCACTCCTCCTCCTACTGCCTCCACCACTGTTACGAGCCGGCGTGTAAACTCGTACCTCATCCTCGCCCCAGAGTCGCGTGCAACCACACGCGCCTCCACTCTCCATGCCGTTATGAGTATTCATACGCGGATGGGTCTATCACTAATGGCTTCTTTGCCAAAGAGACGACATCGTTCAACTCCAGCACCGGCGAACTGTTACAGCACGACAGTTTAGCTTTCGGGTGTGGGTTTACGATTTCCGGTCCGAGTGTTTCCGGTCCAAGCTTTAATGGTGCTCAAGGAGTAATGGGGTTGGGCCGTGGGACTATATCGTTTGTTACTCAACTCGGCCACCGGTTCGGTAACAAATTCTCTTACTGCCTCAGAGACTACACCATCGCTCCGCCGCCGACGAGTTACCTCTTGATCGGCACTGCCGCCGGGAATTCAAGAATGCGGTACACCCCATTGCAAACTAACCCTTTGTCCTCTCCATTTTACTACATTGGGATTGAAAACGTTTACGTAGATAATATGAAATTACGTGTAAGCCCTTCGGTGTGGAACATTGACAAAATGGGAAACGGCGGCACCATCGTTGACTCTGGCACCACCCTCACTTTCCTACCTGACACCGCGTACCGCCATGTTGTGGCAGCTTTCAGGCGGCGCGTGAAACTTCCAACCCCGGCGGGTTCTCCTCCAAACTTCGATCTTTGTATCAACGTATCAGGCATTTCAAGACTGAGTCTGCCCAAACTGAGTTTCAAACTCGTTGGCAACTCTGTTTTTACTCCGCCGGTAGGGAACTACTTCATTGACACGGCGGAGGACGTAAAATGTTTAGCGTTGCAGCCAGTGACCTCAGCCGGTGGATTTTCGGTGATCGGAAACCTAATGCAACAAGGGTTTTTGTTTGACTTCGATATCGGAAGGTCACGACTGGGGTTTTCTCGGAGCGGGTGCTCTATTGGTTGAGTCAGCCGAGTCATGATCTACGTCAAACCACCTGGGATTTTGTGTAGTAATATGATATTATTTTTTATTGTTGAATTTTTAAATTTATTTTATAGTGAATGGTGAGTTATTAATGATTAAATTTGTGGGTGAGGAGGAGGGGGCCAAAGAGGATCTTCAGCATGTGATGTATTTTTGTCCTTATAAATTCAACACAAAACAAAGCAGGAAAATACGAAAAATTTTAAGCTGCTTTTTCGCTGTTGTCTGCTTTCTCATTGGACCTTTCACGTGACCCCATCATTATTAGTTAGGTAAGTTTACATTTTTTTTTTGTTATATGTTTTGCAGATTATACTTGCATATATGGTTTAGGCAAACCTTAAGAATGGTACTTGCCTACTTGGGTTGGCAAGTTTTTTTTTTTTTTTTTTTTTTTTAAGAAATGACGATCTCCCCTAAGGAGGGTGTTTGCTTATACGCATATCGACCAATCTCATGTGCGAGTATAGGACTATGACTCATGACCTATAGTCACTATAAACGAACCTTCATACCCAAAAATAATATATTAGTGCCAAAATTAATGTGAGTGTCGGGATTCTCGGACGTGAATTCCTAATATATCTTCCTAAAGTGATGATGTTATATCTTCCTAAAGTGATAATGTCTAACAACTACCTCACAACCCTTCTCGTTTGTGGTTAGGGTGTTAACACTTTTGATATTTTTAGTTCATGAATTAAAGAAAGGGAGAAAACGATTTCCATTAGCTGGTTTTTTTGTCAATAATGGTTGCTTTTCGGCTAAAGATAAAACTGCAAAAATGGTTTATATGGTATGTATTTTTTATGAGGTTTAGTCCAAACCTCAATCTTTTTGGTTTTGTGGTAATTTTTAGCTAGTTTTGTTGTGGATTTGGTTCCTCAGTAAACTATTGAAAAGACTATAATACCTTTCGGCTATTCGTTTTGTTATTTTTCTTTTATTTTTTAAAATCTAATATTTATTTATTTATTTAAACAATTAAAAAAATAAGAGGACCCTCTCTCTCTCTCATGATTAAACTAGGGTTCATTATCTTTTAATTCAACCAAAACACCAATTATCTTTTATTGAAACATTCAAAAGTAGTTTATAATAAAATAGTCATCAGAGTACAATGCCAAATTCATCACACTATGGAAACATGTGTGGATGCAGTGCATTCACGCCGGGCCCTTCTCTTTCGCACCGAAAGTACTTGAAACCATAAACAATAAACCTTAAGCACAAAGTTTAGTGAGTTTCCCAAAATACCACATACCAAAACATACAAGTGTCATTGGCTACCCTCATGGACTTTCCTTGCAGTGCTGAGGTCCAAATCACGGTCTTACGTATAGACGCAAGGGGCCAGATCCTGGTCTTTCATACAACTGTCAGGAGCCAAATCCTGGTCTTTCATACCATTGTCATGGGTCAGATCCTGGTCTTTCGTACAATTGTCAGGGGCCAGATCCTGGTCTTTCATGCAAGCATCACAGAGACAACTAGCATTCCACATAACAAGTAATGAGCCGACATTGTTGTTATTATGAGAATGATCTACAGAAAACATTTCAAATATTATGCAAGTGTTAGAGTGTTTTTATATGGCTTCTAGGCTAAAGATTAACTATCATAAGTCTAATCTTCATGCGGTTGGAGTTTCTTTTGAGGAGATTGAAAACATGGCTACCATTATAGAATGAAATTCCCTTTCGATTACTTGGGAATTCATGTTTGCGATAATATGGAAAAGGTAAAGGGTTGGAATACGATATTTGAAATGACTATCTAAATGGAAGGCTAATATGCTCTCGATTGATGGCATGTCGATATTGCCAACTTCGGTTTTAGGCTCTCTTTGAACTTAATTTTATTTCCATTTTTCCTATGCTAGTCACGACCAAGAAAACTTTGGAAGGGTTATGTGTGAAGTTTTTTTTTTGGGGTGGTGATGCCAGTGATAGGAAAATGCATTAGCTTAAGTGAAATATTGTGCTTACGGCTAAAGATATAGGTTGGTTGGGTATTGGCGGTTTATATTCTCAAACCAAGCTTTCTTGTAGAAATAGAGATTGAGGCTTGTTATAATAGATAACGCTTTATGGATAAAGATCATTATCTATGCATGGATTATAATGTGGTTTTCATTTTCAACATGTAAAAAGCCGAAGGGAAGGTGTGTGGTATCGGATGTTGAAAGCTATAAACCGTATGAATGAAAAATGTGTCATTCCTAATAATACCCTTAAAAAACAGGTGGGAGATGGTTGCAAAACAAATTTTTGGAGTGAAGTGTGGCTAGGAATATTCCTTTATGTAGGTATTTTTCGAGACTTTTCAACTTGAAAGCTCACAAGGAGTGATTGTTGATTGTTGTCATAATGACACTTGGAGTTGGTCTTGGTGAAGGGATATTAGAGGTGGTGTCGAGGAGGATCAATTACAAAGTTTACAAGACTTTTTGTTACATTTTCAAGAGGGTGATCAAAGTGACAAATATATACATGTATGTTTATAGTTAATACAACTAGAAAACATATTGATGATTTTTCTAACACAATTTGGTGGTACTGCGACGAGATGGAATCTGTTTCTTCCTAGAAAAGTTAATATTTTTATTTGAAGGATGTCATTAAACTAGTTGCTAAGTACTACTAATTTGGATAAAAAACGAATTGATGTTCCTTCCACTCTTTGTCCCATGTGTAAGTTGTAACCTGTGAATACAACCTTGTATACCAAGGTTTAATTCAGAATTGCACTCTGGTAAGAACGGAGCAGAGAAAGAGCAGAGCAAAAACAAAAACAATGAACATGGAAGAATGAAACGAGAACAGGGGAAGGAACGGTTTTTGGAAAAAAAAACAATTGTTCACCAAGCCTCATTAGAAACAAAAGCGTAAAAACTAAAAAACAATTACTTCTACTTAACCCCCTATATATACTAAAAGAGTTAGACTCCTAAAACAACTCAAAAACGTTTAAAAACTAAATATTCCAAAAATACCCTTGGGACTCTTTTTTGTCCCAGAATCAGAATTAAGCCAACAATTTCCCCCTAATTCAGAATTCGTTAATTTCTTTACTCCCAGTATACTTCTCATCTCTTCAAACTTGTTTCTTGCAAGTGACTTTGTGAGTATATCAGCTCGTTGCTCCTTGGTGCCTATGTGCTTGACCACAACATCTCCATTTTCTACAAGCTCACGTATGAAATGATATCTTGTATCAATGTGCTTACTCCGACCATGAAATACAGGATTCTTCATCAAGTCTAGGGTTGACTTGTTATCCACACGTAACATCCCAGGTGCGATGTTTCTTCCGGTTAGCTCCATCACCAAACGCCTTAGCCAAATTCCTTGACAAGTTGCACTCGTAGCAGCCATAAACTCTTCTTCACATTATGAAAGAGCTACACACTTTTGCTTCTGTGAAGTCCAGGTAACCAGAATTCCATTAAGGTAAAATGCCATACCCGTTGTACTCCGCCGATCATTCACAACCCTTGCTAGATCGCTATCTGTGTAACCTGTTATTATGTCTTCACCAACACTCCTAGAGTACTTCAAGCCAAAGTCTACAATACCTTTTATGTAACTTAGGATGTGTTTAACAGCTTGCAAATGTTGTTTTGTGGGTCTTTCCATGAATCTGCTAACCAACCCAACAACATATGATATATCGGGCCGAGTATGAGTCAAATACCTCAATCCTCCAACAATGCTCCTGTATTCCTTGGGATTAATTGGTTCTCCTTCCTCTTCTTTTGCGAGTTCCAACTTTGGTTCCACTGGAAATTTACAAGGATTGCACTCTTGCATTCCAGCCTTTTCAAGCACCTTATTTACATAACCCGATTGTTTTAAAGTAACTCCATCCTTAGTTTGACTTACTTCAATACCAAGGTAATATGATAACAAGCCAAGGTCACTCATGTCAAACTCCATGCTCATTTGTTTCTTGAAATACTTGATATCTTCACCGTGACTACCTGTAACAATTAAATCATCAACATAAACACCCACTATTAGTAATTTCCCGGCCTTGTTTCTTGTGTAAACAACATATTCTTGTGGACATCTTTTGAAACCAATTTGCTTCAGGTACTTGTCTAATCGAGAATTCCAAGCTCTAGGAGCTTGGCGCAAACCATATAACGCCTTCATCGACTTATACACTTTACCCGGTTGATCACGGTTCACAAAACCTTCCGGTTGAGTTACATAGACTTCTTCTTCTAAGTCACCATACAAGAATGCTAATTTCACATCTAAATGGTGTACAATCCATCCATTTTTAGTTGATAAAGCAAGCAAGACACGTATTGTTTCTAAACGTGTGACAGGTGCGAACACTTCATCAAAGTCAATTCCGGGTTTTTGCACATAGCCTTTTGCAACTAACCTTGCTTTATGCTTCAATATCTTTCTTTGGATCTCTTTTCAGCTTAAAGACTCATTTAAGACCAATGGATTTTCTTCCTAGTGGTAAGTTTACTAGCTTCCAAGTTTTATCTTTTTCAATTGCACCCAATTCATCCTTCATCGCCTTGACCCACTCTTCTTTTACACATGCTTCGGTGTATGATGTAGTGTAACATCCGGAATTCCTAGGTATATTATTTATTTATTTATTTTGAGGTTTGCTGAGTGACTCGATGAGTTGGTGTTTCAACTCGTTGAGTAGAGTCGCGCCTGGTGACGTGGATTAATGAGTTGACTCGACGAGTCTGTGAGTCGACTCGCCGAGTCAGCGCTGCTGAAGGAAACCCTAAATTCTCGGGCCTGAGGCCTATTTAAGGACACTTATAGCCTCCATTTCGTCTCACCAACACCCTTGCACCTTTGAGAGAAACCCTAACGTCCATAGTGAGCTTGAGTGGTGAGGATAGCTAATCTTGTGATCATTTTGGCTCATTTCCTTAAAGAAGAAGGAAGGTTCTTTAAAGATCAAGAAGGGAGGGCTAGTAGATCTGCTTCTTATTCATC